CATAGCAAGGAGTTCGCGATTACCCACATTATAATTCTTTTCAGCAGTGTTCAGCTTACGGGAATAGAATACACAGGGATGGAGTTTATTCGTAGTCGTGGATCTTTGGGACAGGATGGCTCCGATACCGGAATTAGACGCGTCAATCTCCACAATAAAGGGTCGTGTAGGGTCTGGGTGACACAGGAAGGGTGCCTCCGTGAAACGGGCTTTGAGTTGGCTGAATGCCCGAATGGCTTCCGAGTTCCACCTTAAGCGGGCATTATTGGCTTTTACCATTGTGGTGAGAGGGGCAGCCACTGAACTGAAGTTTCTAATGAACCGTCTGTAGAAGTTGGCGAATCCCAGGAAACGTTGTAATTGTCGGATGGTTTCAGGTTGTGGCCAGTGAGTAACAGCGTCAACTTTCTGCTGGTCCATAGCAACGCCATCGTGATTTATGATGTAACCCAGAAATGAGACACATGTCTGATGGAACTCACATTTGGATACTTTGGCGTATAATTGATTCTGGATGAGGCGTTGTAGCACTGCCCTGACATGTTGAATGTGTTCTGGTAGGGAATTGGAATAAATCAAGATATCAATGTAGACGATGACCCACTTGTTGAGCATGTCTCGAAATATCTCATTTATAAAGGCCTGGAACACGGAAAGACTGTTAGCTAGGCCGAAGGGCATTTCGAAGATATTCGTACTGCCCATTAATGGTAGAGAACCCGGTCTTCCACTCGTCTCCTTGGCGAATACGAACAAGGTTGTAAGCACTACGAAGATCCAATTTGGTGAAATATTGGGCTGAGCGGAGCTGTTCAAGTGCTGCTGGAACTAGAGGTAGGGGATATCGGTATTTGATGGTTATTTCATTCAAACCTCTATAATCGATACAAGGGCGTAAACTGCCATCCTTCTTAACAAAGAAGAACCCAGCTGAAGCGGGTGACGTAGAGGGTCTTATAAATCCCTTCTCCAGTTCTTCAGAGATGTAAGAGTTCATGGCTTCGGTTTCAGGTTGAGAGAGGAAATATGCGACCACGAGGGGGCGTGGTGCCGGGCACTAGTTCAATGGCACAATCATACTCACGATGAGGTAGGAGTTTGGTTGCCTTTCTCTTGTTAAAGGCTTCAAGTAAATCGTGATACATTCTGGGAACTTGACAGAATTCAGAGTCCTCCATACTAAAGATAAATGTTAATCTGGACGGGAGATACGGAGTGTAGGCATTGGGTTAGACAATTCTCGCTCCATTTTACAATCTTACCCGTTTTCCAGGAGACTTGGGGATCATGACGTTGTAACCAGGGGAGTCAGAGGATCACATTGTGTTGAGGAGAGTTGATAACGAGGAGGGAAATTTCTTCCACATGGAGAGAGCCTGTGCGAAGACATAACGGCAAAGTTCGGTACTTTATGTGTCCTTTCCCCAGGGGGCGTCCATCTATAGCAGTGATGGCTAGAGAGGAAGTACAGGAAGTTAGAGGGATGGAGTAAGCAGCAGCAAACTTGCAGTCAATAAAGTTACCAGCGGCTCCTGAATCGACCATTGGCAAAGTCGAAATTTCAACCTCCTTATACTTCAAACAAACAGGTACACTCATGGTGTCATTAGTGGTCGTGAAAACGGTGGTTGCACTCACCGGAAGTGCCTTAGGTGGAGGTTTATTGGGACATACGCTCTTCATGTGACCTGAAAGTCCGCAATACAGGCATAGTTGATTCCGTCTCCTCCGTTCACGTTCTTCGGGGGTCAGACGAGTTCTACCCAACTGCATGGGCTCCGTGGTAGTTTCAGGGGATACAGGACTGGATATAGCAGAGCATATGGGGTTACGAGTGCGAAGCAAGGTGTCTAACCTGATTGACAGTTCGTTGAGCTGATCCAGAGTCTTCCCCTCATCCCTACATGCCATCTCCTTTTGCAGTTTTGGTCTGAGAGCTTTTCGGTAGAGTGTAGTGAGTGGATCATCAGCCCAGCCTGTTTGCGCTGCCAGCATGCGGAAGCGCAGAGCGAATTCAGCGGCAGATCGATCTCCCTGTTGTACACATAAAAGCTCCTCACCAGCATTACGACCTCCCTCAGGGTGATCAAACACAGTGCAAAAGCGTTTGAGAAAGTCATTGAACGATGGGAATATCGGGGTACTATCTGGCCAGACAGCAGTAGCCCAGTCTAAAGCTTTGCCAGTGAGCAGTGAACATACAAAAGCGATTTTCCCATTATCATCCTTAAGTAGGGTTGTTGGGCAATAAATAGTTTACACTGCAACAAGAAGCCTTTACACTTTGATGGGTTACCTGAGAATTTATCGGGGAAAGCCAAGCGTACTCCTGAAGCATTCTGAGTCTGGGTTTGTATGGGTTGAGTCGGAGAGTAGTTAGCGGTGAGTTGCGCTGTGGGAGCAGCTTGCAGGTTTTGCAGAGATCTCACCAGTTCATCTGTTAACTGAGTCAAATGGGTTAGTTGCTGTTGATGTGCGGTGAGTACCTGAGCTTGAGTGGTAACTTCCTGTGACAAAACCTGTATGGCTGCGGGATCCGTGTTGGGCAAAGTCTTCTGTAACAAGGAGACTGACATGGAGGGATCCATTATGCAGTATTTATTGCTCAAGTTCTTATTCACACACACAATTTGCACTAACGTGCAGACACACAACAACAACAGTCTATGATGACAAGAGACTGGCGATGGATAGACACAGTGAGTATTACCAGGCATAGATCGAGGGCAGGCTGCTAGTATCAGAGTCCGTGAACAAAGCGAGGGTCGTGGGCAGGCAGAAGGCGAAGCAGAGTCAAGAAACAGGCTGGAGTAATACACAGGGAATCAGACAGGAATAACGCTCAGAAATGCTGGCCGGGGCTAAACAAGACTTTACACTGAATGAGCGTTTGGTGCTGGCTTATAAAGGGTACGTGGGTCATTAACGGGATTCTGTTCAGGTGTGCATGATCAGAGTGAAAGGATGATGTAATGCTTAGAAGTCCGGAGATGGTGGCCTCTGCTGGCCAGCGAGGGGAATGACTGGGACCGAGTTGGTGACAATTACGCTGCTGTGCCATCAGCCAATCGTTACTTTGCTGATCATGATTTCGAGGATCGATAGATCTGTCCTTCACAACACATGCAGCCATCTCAGATCAATTCATACAGACATTTTAACCTGATTCACAAACTTGTTTACAGAACCAAATTAGCCAGAGATCAATTATCAAGATTAAAAGATCCAGGATCTGCCAAATTATCTAAGATTATTTAAGTGCAGTACGAAGAACAGACCCCAGGTCACCACTACGAATGACAATTTTTGTATGTCACTGTTTGTCCATGTACTCCTGTTATCCTGAGAGCTGATGCTGAGTATTCTTAGGCATTTTCTTACTTGAAATTGTTAACCCTGGGTCATTCTAACCCTAGTTAAACAATCATGGGTTGTCTGTAGTCACCATCCACACTGCTCATGCTATACCTGGGTGTTAATTACCAGACGTTTCATATTCGCAAATCCCCGGGTTAAAATTATTATTTGTATATTTCCGTTGTCACTGTCCCTGATTGGACAAACATAAGGTCACCTTTTTAGATGGCATTTCTGCATCTTGTCGGGTATATAAAATGTAATAACGTAGTTTTTCAACTAAGCATCAGGAACTTGCACAAAGCCAAGAAAACAAAGACAAGTACAAGTGAAGTTTGTTTATAAATATACCCTAAATTCCATATCACAGCCATCTTCGTTTAGAAAAATCCCCTCTTCCACCCCTACTCCTTCTCCTTTTCTAGGTCGGTGGCACAAAAGCCCAGAGGTTAGCACTGTTGCCTCATAGCAAGAAGGTTACTAGTCGTTACCAAGCCAGCTGATGTTTCTGTGCAGAGTTTACATGTTCTCCCGATGCTCATGTGGGTTTCTTCCAGGTTCCCCGGTTTCCTTCCACTGTCAAAAAACATGCAACTTAAGTTAATTGACAAATCCAAATCGGCACCATAGAAATGCTCTTAGTAAGTAATTATCTTACTAAGAGCAATCATTTTCTGTTTATTAGCTACTACAGCAGACGAGTTCTGGAGATCTACCCGAGCTCAAACTTCCCTTTCGCCTTGCAAATGGGAGAGAGCCTCAGGCTCGAGGATCATTAAGTGTAAACACTTGAAATGAATGAAAACAAGTTGCAAAGTATGTTATCTTGCCATCTCCTCATCACTCCAGTTTACAGCAAACCTGACATTAATCATTTGCATATGTCCATTCATTAATTTTCCTTCGGCTTAGTCCCTTTATTCGTTAGGGGTCACCACAGCGGAATGAACAACCCACTTATCCAGCATTTATTTTAAACAGTGGATGCCCCTCCAGCGGCAACCCAGTACTGGGAAACATTTGTTATATTAGTTATATACAAGAATGCAAACTCACAAAAATAAGCGTAATTTATGCGTACTTGCCATGAACATGCAGGAATTGTCTCAATCGGGTCTTCCAAGCAAGTTACAAATGTTTAAATCCAGTGGAAGATGCACAACACACAGCATGAGTAATCCAGAGCGAGTGCATTTGATCATTTACATTTAAAGCCACAGGCACAAAAACAGCTTGGTTTTCCTCTGACCCCCAAAATTAAATCTTCTGTAAGGTATATGATCTGATTTTGAGCTGAAACCTCAGACACATTCTGGGAAGACTTATTTTACATCTTGTAAAAAAGGTTTTATAATAGGAATCCTTTAAAGGGATTGTTGATGCAGAAATTAAAATAGCCTTACTATTTATTGTCCCTCATGTGGTTTTAAATCTTTACGAGTTTCTTGGTCCTGTTAAACACAAAAGAAGATCTTATGGAAAAAACGCTGGCTTTCTTTGTGTTCCAGAAGAAAGGAAATGTTTAAAACCACATGACACAGAGTAAATGGTAAGGTCATTTTTATTTGTGGGTGAAACATCCATTTCATGCTTGTCGCTTTGTGGCTTCATTCTAAAAGTTCATTTGTTTTTGTTTTTTTAAGACGTGATGGTGCTGAAAGAAGAGACTCATCAATGGAATGAAATGGAAGACAAACATCAAGACATATTGACTGATGAAAAACCCACACTGACTAAAAAGACTTCATCACACGGAAGACCTCGGAAATCCAAATCTATGTGTAATTTCAGCAGTAACCAGTGTAGAAAGAGTTTCAGTCAAAAGCCAAAGCTTGATGTTCACAATAGGGAGAAACTTTACACCTGCAAACAGTGTGGAAAGAGTTTTCCTAAAATTCATGGCTTTAAAGCCCACATGAGAATTCACATTGGAGTGAGGCCGTACAAATGCCAACAGTGTGGAAAGAGTTTTAAGCAAAATAGCAACCTTGAAGTTCACATGAGAACTCACAATGAAGGAAGAATTTTTTCTTGCACACAGTGTGGGAAAGGTTTTGCTAAAAAACACAACCTTAACATCCACATGAGGATTCACGCTGGAGAGAAACCTTACACATGCACAGAATGTGGTCAAAGTTTCCCATATAAAACCACATTCAATAGCCACAGGAGAATTCACACTGGAGAGAAACCTTACAGATGCACAGAGTGTGGTAAAAGTTTCACACATAAAAGCACATTCAATAACCACAGGAGAATTCACACTGGAGAGAAACCTTACACATGCACAGAATGTGGTAAAAGCTTCACGCATAAAAACACACTCGATAACCATAAGAGAACTCACACTGGAGAAAAACCTTACAGATGCACTGATTGTGGTAAACATTTCCCATATAAAAGCACATTCAATAACCACATGAGAACTCACACTGGAGAGAAGCCGTTTGCATGTGCTCAGTGTGGAAAGAGCTTCAGAGCCAAAGCTAGCCTCATGAATCACATGAATGGTCACACTGGAACTATAGTGTTCACATGTGATCAGTGTGGAAAGAGTCTCACACACAAAGACTCCATTAAGAACCACATGAAGACTCATTTGGTAGAGCGTTTAAGATGCAGTGAGTGTGGAAAGGGCTTTAATTGTAAAAGAAGCCTCAGCACTCACATGAAGCTTCACAATGGAGAGCAGAGTCCTCAAAATTAAGGCCTTGTCCACACAAACATGGGTATATTCTAAACGGCAGCTTGTTCATGCAGTTTGGCTGTTCATTGACATGGTTTATTTATAAACTACTTTTGAGAGGATCACGTGCTATGATTGTCCACAGCTGGTCCTGCATTAGCTAACACACCAACCAGATGATTTCTAAACCACTATAAATAACCAGAGTTTCTTATCTCAGTTATCTTCCATCTATCCACACAAGTGGATAAGTTTATCTATCCACACAAGTCCCACAATGATAGTAACCATATTAACATAATATATTGAATGTTCCGATGTTGTACTTTTTTCAGAAAATACTTCCAAATCAGGAACACAGGCTCCTATTCTTGTAACCCCTTATCTGGGTCTTTAGATCCATCAGTATACATTTGTGTACTCCAATAAAATTTTCCAGCTACAAGCTTATACACATTTGGCTTATAGTACCTGATTCCTCCCATTCATTTCTTTTGTCCAAGATCTCAAGATTGATTTCAACTTCAGGTATTATCCATAAGGGGACTTCACTCCATACTGGGGTTTTATTACCCACTATATTAAATACTTGGTGTTTTATTTTATTTATTTATTTTTTGCTATATTATGTATATCCCATCCAAATCCTCTTCCTCTATTATTAGTATACTCCCAACAATCTATTAAAGATTATTTTACAATGTTCGCTCCAGCATAGCTTTTAATAGATGACCAATACGCCAGCGCCAATTTCTCCCTACGCAGATATAATTGTAATTTATTTGTTTCCACAATCAAAGCATTAATCGGTGTTGATTTTACAGCTCCTATACACATTCGAAGTGCTCTATATTGAATCCTATCTAGTCTTTTTAAAATGGTCTTTGATGCTGCCGCATATATTATACACCCAAAATTAAGTACCAATCTTATTAAAGCCTGATACACTGTGAGCATTAATGATCTCTCTGCTCCCCATTCTTTGCCTGCTAATGCCCTCATTGCATTTAAAGTTTTCCTTCACTTCTTTTCCACTTTCTCAATATGATTTTTCCATGTGTACCTGCTAGATATTTAAATTCTTTAACCTCTCTCCGCCCCGGACAGAGCACCATGGGCGGGATATTTGCCTGAACGCTGATCAGCGAAAGCTGATTGGCTGCCTGTATGTGGCTTAGAGAAAGCTGATTGACTGCCTGTAGGCGCTCGGTGATAGCTGATTGGCTGCCTGTTCCTTAAACAGTCTCTTGACAACAGAGGGAAACATTTCTGGACAGAAGATTCATTTGTCTTCTTCAGTCTCTTCAGAGGAATATAACATTGTTTCTGTGCAATCCCTGATTGTATAATACCTTTAGTCAAGACCGGCCCCGAAGTTTTTTTTTTTACATTAATTTATATTTGACTGCACAAATCTTCTCAGTACATGTCAAACAAAGACATTCCCTCAATTACTAATAGATCTCGGAATTCTTTACCTGTTTGCGTGAGCTTTTGGAATATATTTAAGTGACAGAATGGTATGAGTTTTAAATAAATTCCTCTTATAATAAAGTTGGTGAAGTCTCTACTCATAACTGCTCTCCACTAAATCACAACTTGTTCAATCTAATAATAATATTTCCTCAAATGCTCTTTACTGTATTCAGTCTGAAGAAAGTAATTTGCTTTGGGAGTATACTTATTATCAAGTGCTTTGCGTTGACTTTACCAGTTCTCCTAAAAATGCTTTTATCCAAACTTTTGTATCCTTTAAAATTGTATTTTAGTTACTCTTTGAAACTAGCCTTCTTACTATACATGTATTTATAGCTTCTTTCTACATTTGGCATCCAGAGATTTTGATATGTATGTAAACTCTATTAATTACTGCAAAACATCAGAATGTTATTTCACATTATGTCCATATAGGACTGATTTAATCTTGTATGTAGGATATCAAAAGCACTTTATAGTGATAATGACCCAGTTAGTGGAACTAAAACATGTAGTAGTAATGGGTACTTTTTACTTAAAGGGCATCTATTTTACCCCTTTTTCAAGATTTAAGATGAGTCTTTTGTGTCTCCAGAATGTGTCTGTAAAGTTTTAGCTCAAACACCCATCAGATTATTTGTTATACATTTTAGAATGTTGGGGTTTTCTGCTTTAAACACTTAGTCTTAGTGGATTATATAAATTAAACAAAATTGTTTTAAAATGTTTGGATTAAAAGTTTTGATCAACTTCAAATACTGAATGTCTGTGTATGTGAGAGAGATAGCAGATATGTTGTATGAAGTGGAAAATGAAGGAGAAATGTATCATGTCATGACTGCAAATGTGAGTAGCAAAAAAACTAAACAAAAAAGACTTTGCCAACAGATTAAAAACAAATCTTGATTCTATTATTTCTGAAACTCAGTCTGGGTTTATAAAAGGCCGCCATGTTTCTTATAACATAAGATTAGTTTTGGATTTGCTCGATTATGCTGATTCTATTCATTCAGATGGTCTCATTCTTTTTCTTGATTTTTATAAAGCCTTTGATACGATTGAGCACCAGTTTCTGTTTAAAGCATTGAGGTTTTTTGGATTTGGGGATACTTTTGTTAACACTATGGCTTTGTTTTATAAAGAAATCAATAGTTCAGTGATTGTTCATTTTAATACTTCTAATGGATTTGATATTTTGTGTGGTATTAGACAGGACGGCCCAATCTCTTCCTTTTTATTTTTATTAGTTACAGAGTTTCTATCCTTAAGCATTGTGCAAAATCAAGATTTGTAAGAAATTTCTGTTTTTGAGAGGAAGATTAAGATTTCACAATTGGCAGATGACACCACTTTATTTCTAAAAGATGACTCAAACGTATGAAAGGCTTTAAATTTAATTTCTGACATCTCAAGTGTTTCTGGTCTAAAGCTGTTTATCTCCAAATGTGAGATAATGCCTGTTCATAATTTGAATTATGAATATATAGAAGATATCCCTGATAATCCCTGTTTTTTTGTTATTAAAAATCTTTTAGTGAGACAGCACTTGAATTTTTGTGTCTAGGATCAGCAAAAATAAAAATATTCTTAATTGCTGGCTACAATGGTACCTGTCATTATATGGAAGAGGGTCTTTCTCATTTTGTATATCCGACTTTATCTTTATTTGTTGAGAACAAAGTGGCCAAATAAATTAATACTGTTTTCTTAATTTATCTGGAAGAACAAACCTCATAAATTGAAAAAGGAAGTTCTTTCTAATAGTAAAGCAGAGGGAGTGTAAATTTATTAGATTTTTCTGACACCATAAACATTTTTAAAATTAATTGGATAAAGAGATGCCTAACCAATCCAACTTCTATTTGTTTTTGTTTTTTTATCCCCAACTACTTTTTTTAACAAAATCTGTAGTCTTTTGTTTCTTCTTAAATTTAATTATCTTTCCTACAAGCTATCTTTAGCTTTGTCTAAATTACACCAGCAATGTCTGCTTGCTTGGAAGCTTGGTTATGTTCACAATGTTTCTCCCCACCGATTTTTCTTATGGAATAACCAAGATATTACAATCAGAAACAAATCATTATTTTTCCAAAGTTGGTTTAAAAATAACATTAATTGGATCCTTTGCTTGTTTGATGATGCAGGAAACATTCTTTTGTGAACCATTTATAACCTACCACTGTTTTCCAACTTCTCCTAATGAATTTAATAAAGTTGTTAGGCAATACCACCAGGTTTAGTTCACCTAGTTAAAAGTCACTGTACATTTAACTGTAAATTTGCTTTTAGATGGTGTTAGTCTGTTAGATAAGAAACGTAACAATAGCTTTGTGCGTCAAATTTTCCAATATAAAAGGAAAATTTCGTCTAGAGGAAAGTTTTACTGGAGGTCTTTGGTTAAGGACATAGACTGGAATAGAACCTGGCTTTTACCTGGGAAATATTGCATTTTCCAACAAGGCAAAAGAAATGCATTTTAAAATTTTCCATAAAATCTACCCTGTAAAATTTAGTATTTACAGTTTTTTGGACATCGACAGCTCCTGTTCTTTCTGCAAACAAGTAGAGGAAACACTACTACAGGGGTGGCCAACCCTCCCAGCCGGCACACGACCGACCTTCAACGTTGAAATATGGTTGAAATAAGGTCAGTTGTGTTTTGAAAGTTGAAATAATGTTGATAGAACGTTTAATGTTGAATGGTTGAAAAACAGCCTGCATATGACAAGGCTTCAACGTTGAAATGTGGTTGAAAATATGTCAGTTGTTGCTTTCATGTTGAAACAATGTTAAATGATAAATGGTTGAAAAAAGTTACAGAAATCCTTGTACAAATCAACGTTGACATTTTTTATCATGATCTGTATGTTGAATTAACGTCATGGCTTCACCCAACATTCAACATGTTTGGTTACCATGGTATTGGAGGACTCCGCGCACGCGGCCACGCGCAGCGCTTCACTTCACTTAATTACGAACACCTGACCTGCAGTGCAGCAGAATTCAGAGGTAAGCGTGTTTTTAGATGCTTTAACGTTTTATTTACCCCCCGATTTTGTCAGTGTATCTTAAACGTGACTTTTGAGGTGTAGTGTTTCGAATTTTGAAGCATTTAAAACTTTCCAGTTTGTTTTTAGTCTTGTTTGCGCTCCAGTGACGCGCAGCTAACCTCGAGGTAATGTCACATGTTTAACGTTAATCTAAATGAGCGTTTTTATGGCAAATTCAAAGCGATAAACTCCAAACGCAGTTTAAAGTTACTGAGCAACGTTATAAAACAATATCCATTTTATACGCTGTATTATTAGTGTTATTATT